TAAAATAAAATAAAATAAAATAAAATAAAATAAAATAAAATAAAATACATTGGAATCCTGACAAAAGTTTAAAAACTTGAGAATGACCCCAACCCTGGAAAATATAATTCATCATCTTTATTGTTACAGTACCCATAGCAGTGTTTGAAACAGAGTTTAAGAGTTACATGCGTAGTTTGAAGGAAGTAACTTCTAAAACTCAACACTCACTTAAATGGAAGCCATGTCCAGACACAAGCAAAGACACTGCACTTCCATCCGTCTCAACTCTCCAACCTTTCACCCACATGTGAGCTCCTCTAATCACCTGGGAAACATTTGTGGTAGAACTATCTATTGTTGCCACCATTCAAGAGTCTCTAGAATTTTAAACACTGCTCTCTTACAGTCAGGCACACAAGAGAATGAAGGTCAGATGATGTGTGTATCTTCCTGAGGTAGCTATGGAGTCCCATTAGGGTTCAGTAGCAAGAAGGCTGCTCAGATAAGCAACAAGTTTTTCTCTTGCAAAGGTTTTCTTTGCAGAGAGGAGTGGTTGTTTATAGCTCATAACCATTGTGCTACTCTAACGAGGAGAAAGCAAACCCTGCATTTTAGCCCAAGATTGGTTTCATAAAGGCTCCCAAGTGCAGATCAAAATGCTAGCGACACCAGCCTGGGCATTCATGATTCAATAAAACTTACCTATGCTTGTTATAAAGTTTATCATTAAACCTCCTTAAGCTGCTGGAGGTGCCTTTTATTGAGGCAAAATTATTCAGTGTTTCACTTAAAAGTTTATTTGCAGAACATTTTCATGTTGCAGTTAGTCAGTCATGAAATAGTTTGGGTTTATGGACTGCATATATATTTTAACGCGTGATTTCAAATTAATGAAAAGGTGCCAGTGGATTCACCGGGGATATATTATTTTCTTTCTCACCAATAGGATGGGTGAATTAAGTCACTTGAAGGATTTATCTAATAAAGCTAATAAAGTATTAATTTGGAGAGCTCTTTATCCTCCTAAAGATCAGGGTTAGCTCATGGTCTGCATTGTTTTCTAGTAGGCTTTCCAAAGTTCTTGAAAGGACACCCAGGGGCTCCAGAGGAAGAAAGTAGTAAATTAAAAGCAATTTCACTTGTGACTACAGGAGCCGTTCTAAGAGAGAGTGACCTTGGGTTGCCTGTTTGACTGAATATAAATGTCTAATTAATTGGCCATGTCTGCATGAAACTACTCCCATTTTAAAAACTGGGGGGTAAAAAAAATCTTTATAATAACTTCTCAACAGGACAGCTGACATCCAATTTACTAAACTCCTTAGGATTTATGTGGACATTTTCCTAATACATAATCTCAGACTTAGAGGAAATAAAAATACAGTAATCAGATGTGGCAACTGAGCCCCTGGAATCTAGGCAGCTTCAAAACAGTGTAGCTTTTAGCTTGATGGCCCCTTCTACAATGTAAAATATCACCTTGCCTTGATAAATATATGTATTTTGGTTCATTGAAAACAAGAAAGCAAAAGAATTTCCCTATATGGCAGAAATCTAAGGATTTCTTCCTTAAGGCTTGAGTCATTCTGAGAGGCTGTATGTGGCTGTGTGATCATGGATTCTGCTCTCTGCTTCTAGCATTTCTGAAATTTCTATGGAAGTAGCTGAACCAAGACATGTAACTGCAGCAAGTCCACCAGCACACTTGATAGAAAGATGTGACTGCCCTCCCGGCTATGCAGGGTTGTCCTGTGAGGTAAGCCAGCCGTCACTAACTTGCTTAAGCTCAGCTCCCTTCCAGAGCCCAATGGGAGTCCTTCCCAAGCCCCCTGTGCACTTGACTTCCATGCAAACTCTTAGTCTGTGTACTTGATTCTTCACACTGCATGTAACATGGGGGCAACATGATAATGAATCTACCTTGTAAAAAATCACAACAGCAGGGAACTATCTGATAAAAATGAAAAGATTTGTGAAGCTAGGTCACATTTGGGGGATGAGAGTGTTTCAAAAGGCTGGTTTGTTATAACTCATCTATCTTCTTGGCATCATTTCTGGGCAGTTAGAGGCAATTAAACTTCAGTGATTATAAGATATGATTATATCTGTTTTGAGAGTGTTTTTATATAGAACAGACAAAATTTCTGCACTAATTAGCAGGCTGTTCCATTCAACATAGTCTTCTCAAAGGGACATAAATTAGTTCCAATGATGCTATTATCATTCAGTCACTACAATTTTAAAACCATTTCTTTTTTTCATTGATAGGATATTCCTTTGAATACTGTTTGGTAGGGTAATTTCTACAAATATTAACTTGTAAAAGGAATACAAGTTTGAGGGAGTTGGTAGAGATAAGGAACTGGACTGAATTTGAACATTATCATGGTCCATAACTGAGACCTTGCATAGGCTGCTAAACCTTTTTAAGCTGGACATGGCAAAAACTCAACTCTCTAAGTAACTAATGATATCACATCTGGTCTTCCACATCTGGCCCTCTGTAGAGCCCTAGTTTAGTGCTTGGCCTTAAAGAGTTTTCTGGGACTTGCTATTTCTCTTTAGTCACATTAGTTGGTGCTGTTTGCATGGTAGCTGGATATCATTGATGTCTCGTCCTCCTACAGCTTAAGAATCTTATGAAGATTGTATGAGCTGCGAACCTAACACACATGTCATTGATCTGTAGTCAGTGTTTCTCATTAAGAGTTATTGCTATGACACATAAACTCGTTATAGGTCCATGTACTGATACTTTCAGTATAAATAGTTTAGTCTGCATGTTTTGTAAATAATGATCTTGGAAGTTTTGTTGAGAATGGCATGCATGACTCTGGGTCAAAGTTAAAATACTTTGGAAATACTGAATATGGATTGGTGAGATGCCTTTGCAGGCAAAGGCTCTTATTGCCAAGCTTCAAAACCTGACTTTCTTCAATTCCCTGGACTCACATTGTGAAAGGAAAGAACAGACTTCCTTAGGTTGCCCTCCGACTTCCGTGCACTCATTGTGTTATGTGCATACCAAAGCACATAGACACAAATTAATGAATAGATAAATGAATGTAATTAAAGTATCGAATACATGTTTCTTAAGGACAAAATGGCATGTGCAAAGGACAATAGAAGCTGAATATTGTGATTCCTACCTCACTCCACCACTTCAAGCACTTTTGCTGGTTTATTGCTGATCCTAGGGTTTTTGCAGAGAATCACCTCAAGGATTAACATAAAAGAAAATTCATGGAAAAAAAAATCCCATTGTAAACTCAGTGCTGTTCAACTTAGCCACCACTATATAACTCCATACTGTTCAAAGAACAACTTCATAGGGTGACTGAAATGCCTTGAAGCAGCTCCATCACCTGCTTAAAAGGTGATAGTTATTGTAATAAGTCAATTTTATATCATAAATAGACAGATAACCCATCTCTTTCTTAAGTATTAGTTTCCCTTGTGCATCTTTTTTTTATTTTTATCAAGCTCTACATTTTTCTCTACTCCCCTCCCTGCCTCTCTCCTCCCCTTCAACCCTCTCCCAAGGTCCCCATGCTCCCAATTTACCAGGAGATCCTGTCTTTTTCTACTTCCCATGTAGATGTGTGCATCTATTTTTACACACTGCACACTGTTACACTTGTCTACATAGGCCTTCCAAACATACACAGTAGATGGCTGGAAAATGAGGTAATGTGCACATAAAAAATGGACAAACCTTTAGTAAGCATAAAAGATGAAAGCATACAGGACAGAGAGAACTTTGGATTTTTCTAAAGAGATAGAATTTTCTCTCATTGTGTGACTGCATTGCTGGAAAACTGCGTGACCTTGGCCAAATCCCTCAACTGTCACAGAGCTCATTATTATTACATATAGTTACTGTTGTGTAGTTACCTGAGCTAGAAGGTTGGCGTTCTGAAAGTTCTAACTCACTAAGGTAATTTTCCTATAGAAAATATTCAGAATTAAGATTGACCTTCAAGTATCTTGAGAAGAAAGATGCTATGTCTCCATTTCTCTCCATATATTTAATATTAGTCTCTTCATTTTTCAATAAAAAAATTGGACGATCATGAAAATATTTTAATATAATCTACATCCCTCTACATACTTCATATTCAGTGCTTGTATTGGGATTTAAAGGCTTTTAAAAAGAGTAAAACACACTTTAGCGTTGATTTTACCATTTGCCGTTATCTGTAAACATAAATTAGAACAAATTAAATCAAGGAAAATGAAAGAAAGTAAGAAAAACCTAGGATGTGTCCACATAAGCGTGCGTGCCCACAGCTTTGTCTGCGTCCTGTGAGCTCCACTCGGCCTGCTATTTACAGGCACTGTTCACAGTGAGGATTTAGTGGAGAGATTATGGAGATAAAAGCTGATCTCTCATAATAAGATACCTGACATGTTCTCCACATCCCGTTGCCTCTAATCCATTATACATCTTATTTATAATTCATTTTGATTCTAAAGTGTAATTACCCAGGCATAAAATCTAATCGTCAAAGCAAGAGCTAAGCACAGTTTTGAAATAATCCACCCCATTCCAGTAACATATGCTTTGGGTTATGAATACACAAAATGGTTCCTTTACAACATCTTCACCAACTGTGTGGAATTTGATAGATATTTACATTGGTAAGCTATTCATTTCTATTTGTAGACAAAAAGAGATTGCATGATGGCAGAGTCAAGTATTACCATTTAAAGCACAGTCAGCCGGCTATGAAGACACTACACTTTTGCCTTATACCTGCAGTGGCAGGACACTATAGATCTGTTCATCACAATTTCCTGTCCTTAAAATACCTAATTATTATGATTTATGATCGACAGTGGGAACTAGATTTCTTTTAGAAGTCAAATGAAAGCGCACTCAAATGAAAACAGAAATGTATACCTGTTTACAGAACCACTCTGCTTAGCCTGCTTTCCACATTAGCCTAGGAGAAGATTATGGCCTAAACTTAAATTCAGTTTATGTTACATGCAGACATCATTTTCTATGATATTTCAGCATTGGCTTTATGACACTCTACAATGACATCATAGAGATCAGAAGTTTGAATATGATGTCTAGTTGGTAGTTCCAGTCTCTTAACCCCTCATGACAGGTCTTATTTTAGTAAGGTTTCTGGATCACAGATGAATGATCTTGTACTGGGATTTGGTAAATCAGGACCTGTCTGTTTGGGCAATGCAAATTTTAAATCCCCAATGTATACTTATTAGAAAGTCATAAAATTCAAAATTCATAATGTAGAAAAAGACTTGTCCCTTTCTGCATGCATACTTCCTTTGAGGGGTCCTCTGTCAAGTTGGTAGCATGACCTGTGGGAGAGAGCCCCAAAGACTGTGTACATGCAGACTTGTCCCCTTAATGATGGGAACATATGTGAGAACTGTGTCTCTAGGGAATTCCAGCCCTATGTAAGCATCATGGCATGCCTGTACACGCAGCAAGATGACTGTTCTTTTCCTGTACAAAGTAACCTGGGAGGCCACTATTGTGTGGGTGGTCTATAGTTGACTAAAGCATTATTTTGTGGCACATGGTTATCTCTCCAAACATTAAGGGTTGTGTTACAGATAGATGGTGTGTGCTGCCTTTTTTTCCCCCTGAGAAACTTAGAACAATCGTGACTGGCCTTTATTTTTAGTTTATTCTTAGCAACAACATCTAAATTTTATCTAGGACAGGGCACTTATGTTAATTTTATGGAAAGCATTAAATTGTGGATTAAATGATCCTTGTAACATCCCTCTACAAAAAGAAAACTGAATTTGTTGCATACTTACTCTATCCTGCATAATCTCAAACATATTTCACAGCCTAACTATACCAACACCACAGTAATATGTATGATCTCCATGTTCCCAGGGGGAAACTATGGCCCAGGCAGGTAAAGGAACTTGTCCACCATTACACAGCTTTGATTTGAACCGAGATAAACTTGTTTCCAAAAATGTAAATTAACTTATTTTCAAATATTATGATAGATATAAAAGATCCATGCATTGCAGGTCAGGAAACTGAGACCTGTAGTACTCAAAGTACTGTGTACAATAGAATGTAATATGGGTCAGCAGAAAAATTCAAGCTTTGTTGGCCTGTGTGCAAAGACCATGCAGAGCTCCATGGCAGAGTGTCTTCTCTGGCACCTGCATGGGTCTCCTTCCCTTGTCTTCCCAGGAAAGAGGACTATGCTGAGCAGCCCCAAGACATGTTGGCTCACTGCTCTTCTTTCGCTCTGTTGGCTCTTTTGCCCCACATTTTTCTACAAATCTGATTCCAATGTTTTGGAGAAGTGCCATATTATGAAAACAAAGATAAAAAGAGAACAGAAGAAAATTGAGTTTTGCCTAATTTAAAGACATGGGAAGAGAATCTTGGAAGAGTTTGAACTGCAAGAGGGAGATAATCTAACAAAATGAAGTTTGAGGAAGTTTGTTGCTTTACTTAACTCCTTTTTTAGGATCCAGAAAAACTTTTAAAGAAAATTTAATAGTAATTCTTTTTCTGTCCTAACTGAAGCTTCCTAATGCTGCTAAATTTCACCCGTTTTTTTCAGTAAGGGTAGAAACTTGATATTTTAAAAACACCTTCAGTTTTTTTTTGTTTTCTTTTTTTTATTTTTAATGGAAAGAATAAATACGAAAGGATCGAGGAAGAGAGGGGATTGAAAAAATAAATATAACATGTTGTTTTAAACATTCTTTGATGTTCCAATTCTTACAATAAAAAAACAGTCTCTTTTTCTTTGTCAAATAATACAGCCCATCAGAATACAATATTAAACTGTTAACAGAAGAAACTTTAGTTTTCAACTAAACTAAACACCTGCTGATTTGTGGAATGAGGAAGCCACATCACAAAGACAATAACTGACCCACACCCTTCACAGAGACTAACTTTGAAGCCACAACTCCCGTATTTATTGGGGCCCAATCCCAAAACACTCACATAGCCTTTTCAGACACACTTTGCAAAGACAGAATGAAGAGCATGCTTGTGACCCTCGGTCATGACCACTACTTACAGCTTCCCCAAAAGTTTAACCCCGCTCTCTGCCCTTCTCTTTACCAACTCAATTATAATTTCCAGGACTGGAACCAAGCATCAGAATCTTTCAAAATTCCTCATAGAGCTGAAAACCAAAGGAAAGGCCTTGAACATCCTCAGAAACTCAGTGAGAACTTGGGCTGTGACACTGCTGGCTACTTGTTGCCAGCCCAAGAGTCACAGCAATAAAAACAATACCTGGTGGACTGCAATACAAACCATCCCAGGATTACCAATACATTTCTGCCTGGGACACTGAACTTAATTTCCTCAATCAATGAGGTGTAATTTTATTTACTTTGTTCTTCAAAGTCTTGTTTGTTTGTGGAGATCCAAAATAGATTAGAAATTCCTCCTAATTTCCATAGTTTTCATGCTATGCACAGTATACAAACACACAGGCAAACCCTGAGCAAATAAATAAAAAAAATAACAATATTTAGAAAGATATTTAAATGTGAGATACATGTAAATAAAATGCAAACTTATGCAAGTCAGTATAGCAACAATTTGTTAGTCTATACTGTGCCCAATTTTGAGGTAGGAAGGAGAGGTGCATGTGTATGCTTACAGTGTGTGAAGAATTCTCTGTGCGTGTTCTCACATGTGTCAGTGCAAATGAGTATAGAGGTAGATGCACTTAGATTCCACAGTTGAACGGGGTTCCTCACTAACTCAAAGCTCACAGCTTTGGGTTAATTAGTGGCTGCCACACCCTCCATGTTCACATGAGTTCAACTGATCCACATTCCTGTTCTCATACTTAGGTGATTAGTACTTTGCCCAGTAAGACACCTCTCCAGTCCCTGGGTCAGCATCTCAGTCCCCTGTACACTACCTCTCAGTCCCCTGTACACTACCTCCCAGCCCCTGTGTCCTGTGTGCTATTTCCCCATCCCCTCGGGTGACACCTTCATAATCCCTGTGTGCCATCTCTCAGCACCCATGTGCCATTTCCACAGCCCCTGTGCATCATCCCCCTCTTTTAAACACACCAACAATTGTTCCTTGAGTTACGCTTCAGTGAATTCCTCCGCAGTAATTTCTAGACTTTTTCTGTAACAATGATTTTTCTGTAACAATGATGAAAATTAGCCTTAATTGTCAATAACATGATTATATATATATACATATATATATATATATATATTTATATTTGTATACACCTTGAGATCGAAGACGGGCAAAGTTTGTGTTTTATTTTTTTTATTTGTTTGTTTGCATGTTCACTACTAGATTCAGTCTTCCTTAGTTTGCTCAAATTTGAAGGTGTTAAATCTCATCAGAATTTGTTATAGGCTAATAAAAGCCAAGAGACTTTTAATTAAGTGCTTAATTGAGGTACACAGTCAACAAATCAAAACAAACACCAACAGAGTACTGAGTATTGATTTTTTTCTCCTTCTGTGGGACTTCTGTATATTTTATCCTGGGCTGCTTAGGCCAGATCAAAAGCATGTACAAGCATTAGGAAGTTCTTGGTAAAACATGTTTGCCCTACTTAGCCAGCTGTCATTCTCTCATCAACAAGAGCAAGGTTTTTAAGGGAAGAAAGAAAATTCTACTTAACCAAGGTGGTAAAACGACCTCCTTACAATCCTCAGTGGCATCTGAGAACTGCTGCCTACCCCTTAATCAAAAATCAAATACGGTCTGATGAGTGAGACCATTGAGCCTAGAATACAAGGCACTCTCATCTCATGCTGACACCCTCTTTGCAGAAATCCGGTAATGTTTCTGAAATATTTGTATAACAAAACCTTCATGAAGATGAAACTCTTGAATTTGCATATGTCAGCTTTGCCAGCATTTTTCTATGGGTTTTGGATTTTTATTGCAAAATGAATAAATACAGATCAGAAGAAAACAAATTTTATGAATGACCTAATGGTCTCAAGATACATAGATATTTTGTTATTTTGAATTTTTTTCTTTTTGTAATCTTTAAACCATATTGTATAAACAATGCACCTAGGAAATTTTTATTATTTTGCTTTACTGAGTTTCTTTGGACATTTGCCAATTATCCATCAAGCACAGAGAAGTATGCTTTTGACTGTTGAGAACACTGGAGTTGTCTCGTTAATTCATATGACAATGTTAGTTAAAAATAAACCCTGCAAGACAGGTCTTCTCAGGCTAAAGGCATGAGATACAAATAAAAACATTTTCTCTGCTAAAATCTGACTACTCGGGGTTTCTGCCTGAGAACAGAAGGATCTATCAGCAATACGTAAGTGGTGCTTCCCAAATTTACATACACACGTGGAGGGGTGTGGATCAAAGCCATCTTTAAAAACCACTGGAGACCTTCAGTACGGATGAAGCAAGTGAGACTGTGATTGTCCTAATTGCTTCCCTTTTTTTGTAGACGTGTGCACCAGGATTTTACCGGTTGCGTTCTGAGCCAGGTGGCCGAACTCCTGGACCAACGCTAGGCACCTGTGTTCCCTGTCAGTGTAATGGACACAGCAGCCAGTGTGATCCTGAGACCTCAGTATGCCAGGTAGGCACCTACAGCTTCATGGGCAAGACCTGTGCATTTACTCCTCTTTCCAAACTTGCAGGTCCTCCACCCAGTGGCCGTTTCTTCTGCAGGAAGTGTGACTGTGTGCTTGAAATAGGACATGCAAGGGGGAAGTGTGTTGACCATGTTTGTCATTTTAAGATGTAATGAAAAGATTATGGTGTGAAAGGCTCAGTTCTTCTCAGAAATGAGAATAATAACTGTTTAGAACACAGGAGAATGCACAGGTCAAAAATTAGGTCTTGAGTTATTTTATAATTATAAGCAAGAGTAGTTTTGTTACAGAATCTGGAACCTATACCAATTTTTTACAGAATTTGGATAGTAGAGAGCTTGTGGTATATATGAGTACATAACTTTGATTTGCATTGTTTCAAATAAAAGAGGAGTGAAAGAACTGAGGAAGAGAGAGAGGGAGGGAGAGAGGGAGGGAGAGACAGAGGCGGGGAGGGAGGGAAGAATGAAGAGGCGATCGAAAAGAAAGGAAGCATTACAAAAAGTTTCCCCAAATTTAACCTAAGACAGAATGTTAATATTTTAAATATTCCCCACTAATTTTGTCTGTTTAAAAACAAAATATTTAGTACAATCAGAGTTTAGACTTTTATATTCTGCATTTTACCTGTGCCTATCACAAGCATCTTTAAATATATGGATGGTATATGCTGTGTTTACCTATTTCTCACTTAATTAGGCTGTTCTCAGTGTTGTGCCTTCCTAATGACGCCCAGAACCTAGAATTTTGAATCATCAGAAGTCCTCTGTCATTTGCACTTGCCATTTCAAGTTCCCCTGTTATTGCTGATTCCCTAAAGTTGAATCACTTCATAGCTCTGAACATCTATTTGTCCCTTTTTTCCCCTCTAGTCTTCTGAAATATGATAACTGAGCTTGTAGAGTTTGCGGTTAGACATCAACAAAACCACGTGTAGAATTCCCCTATTCCCCTACTTTTCTTTTCAGGTTGCTCCTAGGAAACTGGCCGTCCCCTTACAGGCTGCCAGACCTGTGGCCTTGCTAAGTAGTAGTTTCTGTTTTCTCATGTTCCTTGTGTCCCTAGCCCTGAAGAGGGGGTGGCTGTTTCCGTCCCTCACTGCCAGCCTCACCCCTCTCTGTAGCAACCTACAGCTGTGCCTGATTCCCAAGTCTGTCTTCACACTGTCGCTACTTGTTGAGCCGACCAGCAGCCCTCATGGTATCTCCTTGTGTCTTTTCATTCTCTAACAAAACTTGATTTGAATATTCATAAATCAGTCCTCCATTCTGCTCCCTCTCAATTTCTTCTGTCATTGCGGTCTCCATTTTGAACATCTGCTTCTTTGGTCACCATCTATTTCTCTCCTGTTCAGTTCTAATATGTTAATATTTTTATCACATCATTGAGCCTTACGCCTTATCTCATTTTTTTAAAAAGCAGCTTGCTTCATGTCCTTTTGTGTCGTTCCTCATCCCCCATCTATCTTGTTTTTTTTTTCTTTCTTTTTCTCTTTATTTTTTTTCAGACAAGCTTTCTCACTGGCCTGGGACTTACCAAGAAAGCCATGCTGGCAGGCCAGAGAGTCCTGCCTTCACAGAGCTAGGATTACAAACTCATAACACTTTACCTAGCCTCTTAAATATGTCCTGGGGACCAAACTCAGATCCTCATGCTTGAGTGGTAAACATTATTCTGACTCAGACGTCTCCTCAATCACTGGCGTTGCTTAAGAAATCAGCAGCAATCAGAAAAGACAGAAACACAGCTTACATGACCTCAATGATTCCTTGATCACTTTCTGCCTTTTACCTCTTACTCTGACTCTTTCCCTTACATTGGAAGACTTAATCTTTTCTGAAAAAGACCAACTCTTAGGCTAGAGATGTCATTCATGGGAGAGCATGCATAGCATGCTTGTGGCCCTTGTATTCAATATCTAAACAATGAGGAAAGCAACGCCATGTCTTCTTTGGGGATTTCTGGGCTCACATCTTGCTCCCTTTCAATAACAGCCCTATTAGTCCCCTATACCGTCTACATCATCATTTAAAATGGGACAAAACACCCTTTTTGACTCTTCTTCCTTCTAACAACCACTCCATGCATCATCAAAGAATTTTCTATGCCCTATTAATAGTTTTCCTCAGTCTTTTAGGACTCCATCACTAAAATCAAACTTTTACTTTTGGGGCTGTGGTAGAGCCTCAGAGTTTACCCTTCTTGTTCTGTCATCAGAGCTGGCTTCCATGTTTTCTCCAATCTTTATGGAAGACTGAATTTGGATCATTTGCTAGTCATGGCTCTGAGGATTTTCAAGCCCTCTGGCTCCTCCTCAGCCCTCTTTATGTTTCTCATTACTCTGATGTCAATACATGGTATAAGTGGGATCTAATACTAATTACAGTTGTTGCCATGCAATCTTATACAGGCACATGAGTCTCAGTAGTTATATATTCTGTGATCCTACAGTATTTGCCTGAGTCTTACAATTTAACTTTAAATCTTTTCTGTCATTCTAGAAGTTTTTGTGGGGTGGGAAAGTAATGCTTTTTTCTTCTTGGATATGATAGAAAAGACGCATTTTATTGATTAATATCATCTCTTCCTCATGATTTCTAAATATACAATTTTTTAATATTAAAATTTGCTTAAGACTTTTATTCTATTTGCCTGTTTTGTTTTTGCTGTAATGCTTTGCTTCCCTTCATTTTAGAATGTATTATATAGTAAACAAGGATTTTATCATCCTTACTTCTTATTTTCTTAACCAGATTTCCATATATTCATTCCAGATACATTTTATTCACTATTTCTATCCATTTTCCAAAATATGTTGCTAGAATTTTGATTGAAATTACATCAAACTTCTTTATAAGGAATTGCTGTATTTATACATTTCTGTTACATTTTCTCTACCCAGAATGTTACTCTTTTCTCTCTTCAAACATTTTACATCTTAAAGTAAGCTGTTATGAAATATAGGTTATATATTTTGCATATTAAAATAGAGTATATCAATTTTAATTTAACAGTTTAATTTCATTGGTAAGCATTGTAGTTTTGCGTTAACAATTCATTACCAATTAGTCTTTATTTAAAAAATTTTCTTAACATATTTCTTAACCTATTTGAAATTCAACCATTTTTATTTGCAACCTATAAATTTTTAATTATTTATATTTATTTTATCATTATAAATCATTGTTTTCAAATACTTTTAATTATGTTGTTTCTTTCATAAACTGTATCTAAATAATTACTTTATAAATTTTAGAGGTTAAGAATTACACAAAAAGCTAAGTAGACAAATAATCAACACCCTATCTAATTTCCAATTTCAATATTAGTCTTGCATTCTTCTATTGTAAAGCTTGGTGGTGGAGGTTCACTTACGAAAATCTTTCCTCATCATATTACGGAACATTTTTCTATTTCTGTATTCTCAGAGATACTTTCTTTCAATAAAGCAAAGATATTAAAAATACAGCATATACTTGATTGTGGAGGGTGGGAAGAGAGTAAAGCAGATTCAAAATGTGATCATGTACAGTTTCACCAACTAAATGTATCATGGGTAAATTAATAACCAGTGTTAACTATCCTTGAATTCCTGAAACGATTAGTGTTTGCCTTTGGTGTCATAGTTTTACTTTCTGCTGGCTGGTCTGTAAATTTCAACAGATAATTTGGGAGAAAGCTTCAACTCACAAGTTAAATGTACTGTTCTTCTGTAGCTTTAAAGGATTACATCTGATTCATATAATTGATTCAGAATCGCTCATAAATGAGAATTTAATTTCACTTTTCTTAGGATGAAAGTTTCTATCTTCGTGTTGTTTTCTTTGCTCAGCTGGGTATTGCAGATAGCTTTCTGCCTTAAGAATCCTCAGTGAAAGTCTATTTTCTAAGAATTCCCTAGATGAAGTAAGAAACAAATAAATACTTCCATCAAACACACACAGTTATATAAATTGTTATGACTTGAATTTTATATTGTCCTTAGGGGCACTTACAACTTTTGAATTTAGACAACTTTACTTATCTTAGAAACAGGCCTATGAGGCAAACAGGAAACAACTATAATAACCTCACGGTTCAACTGAGGAAGCAGAAGCACACTGACATCTCTTCTGCTGGGCTCCAGCTTAATGTTAGGTTTCTTGTATATTGCAATGTCCCTACCTTTGTTGGCGTGCCAACCCTCAGCTCCGCTATCTTGCCTCAAATCCCAGTTTCTCCTCTTCATGACTGGATGAGCACAGTTAGTTTCTTCAGCTTTGGTGGTACTTGAGGTTCTACATTTATCAAACAGTAGTAATAACAATAGTAATAGTACCCCCTCAGAGAGTTTTTTTTAAAAAAAAATACAGATTCAATAAAATGCTCAATACACAGCTTAAAAAAAATAGTTTAACAGATGGTTGAGTGCATAAAAAAGGTTAAATGGGGCTTAGTGATTAAGAGAACTTGCTGCTCTTACAAAGGACCCTTGTTCAGACCCCAGCAATCAGCAGCTAACAACTATTTCTAACTCCAGCCCCAGAGGATCCAGTGTTAACTTCTGGACTCCATGAGTGCTACATACACATGGGGCATATCCATACATGCAAACAAAACACACACACATAAAATAAAAATAATAAAAAGAATCTAAAATAAGATTGAAAGCACTATAAATGATAATGGCCAGGTTAGTATTCATTTATAGTCTTGAACAAACAAACTGATAATTAATAAACAATCAAAGCAATCTTTATGTAATTAATATGTCTAGCACTATGCAAGACTTTCTCACTATCTTAGTTGATTTTGGTTACTGGAACAAAACACCATATCACAAGCTCATTGGCTTATACACAAAAGAAATTGTATCTTACTGTTTCAAAATCTGGCATGCCCTTAAGGCATCAACAAATTCTGTGTCTGGTGTGCACCTGTTTCCTGGTCACAAAGAACACTATTTTAGTGTCCTCACATGTTGGAAAGAAGTATAATAGAAGCTTCCTACAGAACATTTTGTTAGGACACAAATCCCAGTCACAAGGACTCTACCCTAATTATCTAACCACATCTTCAAAACAATACTTCCTAAGACCACCACATTAGGAGTTAGGGTTTCAGCAAAGGATTGAAGCGACACAGACATTCAACAAATACCAAGCTAAAGCCCCCGAGGAGATGGTATTTAGAGGTGGGCACTTATTTATTCTTTTTACTACTTTTATTTTTTACTTTTATAAGCAATAAAGAGAGCACATATAATTATATAGAAACACAAGGTTAAACAATTCTCCTCAACAAACACTACTCTGTGACTAAGTTCTTTTTAATCCTATATGACATTTTCAATAGAGTAGTTGACTCATCCTAGGTGTAAGTTCTGAACCTTCTGCCCTCTTTCTTACTACAAATAACCTCAGTGGCTGTTGCTGCCCCAATAGAACTTGTTTTTCTAAGAATGAAAGATTAAAACCTATGTGATGTTATACTCCACAGAGGGGAGGTCGTGTGCTAACATAAGTTAGTAGATACACATATACAAGGAGTCATGTAGATAAATGGACAGATACATAGAATGATAAACAATAGATATTCTCACTTCATGCTCACTACACCCATTTTCAGTATTATCTCTTCTATTTTTCACAAGGAAATACTGACACACTTCAGGTAACTTATATTTTAAAGATCATGTAATTAGCAAAAATATTATTTTTGCTCCATTATAATTATAATTTTAGAAGGAAAAGAAAAATACAAATCCTCTTCACTAATGTGCCCTATTGTCTGACACATCATTAGTATCAAATTAAATTATAAGTTCTCCCTTTCATAAAGTAAATATTAATTGATGGCTATGGTATTTAAAGAATATTGTGAACTGTCTTCAATATAGCTAGCAACTTTGACAAAATACAGATTATTCATATTTCGTAATAGCTCTGATTATTTAGTCTCAGAAAAAATTGGTAGGCTTTAAAAACTCTGCCCCTAAAGTATGAACATTGTGTTTTAATTCTGCTACAAATTGAAGATTCTAAAATGAAATAGAGCAAATGCACACTTAGTTGATTAAAGATTTGGTTTTAAAAACTCAAGTGACTTATCTGCTGGAGAATGGGCAGAATCCACAGAAGTGATTAAGAAATTCATGTGGAAAATACTTAAGAAATTATGAAAATAGAAAATGTATACCAGGCTCGAAAGAAGTTAAATGTCTGTCCAGGTTTCTCATTTGTTTGTTTGGTTTTGTTTTGTTTAAAAAAACAAAAGACATCTCTGGAAAGAGGTTGATGTTGATATTGATATCTAAGGATGGATACTTACACAGAAACCAGTGTCCATCAACTGTAGAAAAACAAAGTGTTTACTTAAGGGGAAAAAGTTCCTTCAACATAGTGAACATCCACATCCAGCCAATTGGTAGGGTTGCTACCAGTGTGTCAAAAACAAATGACACTATGCAAAGCCTTAGATTCTTGTGCGTTAGTATATAATCAGAGTCCAAGGACAGGATGATAAATCATATCACTTTTTTTTTTACAAAAATAGTGTTAACTGGCATGTGCCCAACTATGTGTATATATCAGTACTGGTAATATATAGTAATATATTGATAGTATACTAGTAATACAGGTTGCTGTACATATGTTTTTCCTGTTTATTCTTATAAAACATTAATGAGATAGGCAGTATCATTGCTTTTCTTATACTGTATGAACTGACATGAGAGAATTAATAATTTGCTAAAGTCAAAAACAGTGAGGATGGCATCTATTATTTTAATGTCAGGTGGCTTAAATATGCATCCAATTCATGTGTCATGATATCCTCACAAACAAAGGTAAGAGTGCAAGCCATATGTTCACAGCTGATAGATTAATGGTGTCTAAACATTGCTGCAGAAGATGGACAATAGCAAAGTCCAGAGACATAATTAATATATGATGTAGCCTATGTAGCACAGGCTCAAAGTGTTTGTCAGCGCTTTGGATAAGATCTATCCAATATTACGTTACATAAAGCTGAAAAGATTTCTAATGTTTTGAATAATAGATAACATGCCAGCAGGTGACCATATTGACCACAATTGACAATATGAAATTAGCAGGAAAAAAATTAGTTCTGTTCACCTGTTCTTTTGTTCTTATGGCTTTTGCTACTAAGTATTTCCAATATGCCTATCTAATGGTAGGTTCTGGGCTATGAAGATGAGGATGATAGCAGCATATATAATATTAATTCATATGATGTAGATGCGCTAATTATACTGTGGATATACATGTAGTATACTAGGTACCCATACAGGGCATTGCTGCTTGTACAAGCTCCAGAAATCTAGGCCAGAAAGACACTTATGGTGTTTCCAAATCTCAGCAAAACACTTATAATCCCCCATGTTTTAAAAGAAACTGAGTAACTAGGATGGCTAAAGGCTTAGCTTATAGCAAAAGATTTAGGAAGTAATGGTGTTCTTAGATATTTGAGAATCTTCCTTGGGAGATGGGAATTAGACTTAATCACCCAGCTTCAGAAGGCAGAACTCAGATTACTGCCACTAGACAAGAATCAAGCAAATGTTTCAGATAGTACTAGAAAAATTCTATTGCTGACAGTCTTGTTAGGCAGAGAGACCTCCCTTATGGGGTCTGTGCATTTTGTGGTACCTGAAAAAAAGCTTAGGAAGTATCCTTATAGTATAAGATTATGTTCAGTTACTTCTCACCTTAAATCTGAAATGCCACAAGATTGGGTTATATTTATTGGCTATGGTAGAAGTCACATGAAACACCTGCAATCCAGCATGTAAGTCAAGCATGCAGAATTTACATATTTTAATGTACTATGAAAGAAACACTAATGTGTGACCTCTGTGAATATATTTAAACTTATTGGGTATTCATAATATATAAATTTCCTTATGCAAAAGTTTCTATATAGGAGAAAATAAATGTGTCAAAGTTTCTAAAGTAGCCATATGATTTATACGTTTTGTTTACAAAACTAGCCAAGCTGTTTTATTCACTTAACCAAGTATAGTGTGTCAGTGTATCTGTGAAGGATGGAAATTCCAGAAAAGGTTAAAATACACTGGTTTTCTTGGTAAACAAATAATGTAAGATTGCCGATTGAAGAAAAATAAGACCAAAATTTGGGCCTCTGTATTTTTAGTATCAATCATTGTACTCAACAACTAAGTTCAGTTGTTACTGATATATCTAGATTATGTAAAGACACAATTATTTTGTTGCAAAAGCCAAAATGCTTAAGAATGTTATTGAATAATTTGTCTTTGGGGCATATTTATTTTGTAATTATGCAATGTGATCTTACTACCTTCCCTAAGAAACACATTCTTTCAATGGCTTGTTAGATGATCTGAGACCAAAATGCACATGTAATTGTTTTGTTTTGAAATCATTCTCTCAGAGTGTTACCATGAAACACAGTGAGGCTTTGACTGCAAAGATATGTAGATTATTCTGGATGGCCAAGAAGGAAGGAGTGTGGTATTTAAATCAGCATCATAATGCAGGAAATCATTTTGCCCTGCTGACCATTTTTCTGTTTTTATTAGATGTGACACCTGTCCTTTTCCATATTAAAAATCTCATCCCATCTTCTCCATGTTGCCCAGAGCATGAGCTCTTCCACTCCGTCATTTAGAATAGCTGCGGCATGCTGATGCTCTTTCAATCGCCCTGTTATGCTAGAGGAAGCTGTTAAGTCATCTTTAGGACACCAAAGAGTGCTAAGGAGACAAAATGACATTTGACATATGAGCAGACATGAGCTATCCAGGTAAAAAGATAAAATGATGTTAACTGAGCAAAGGACTTAGAAATGAAAGTCCTAGAGATGGGGGTGAGGATCCATAAGTAAGGACTCTTGCAGGCTAGCTCAGTGTGCCTAGGCAGCACTGACTGGAGGTGAGGCTGGAAAGTGTGTATCTACATATATCTTGAGACTGGGTTATGCTTCTCAGTATTACTTTTTAGAATATTAAGACATAAGCCATTGCTCTGACTACTCCAAAACTCTTGCAAAACTAAGCTCTTAGAGATCCACCTCTAAATTTTTCCCTCTCAACTCTCAAGTGTCATGTTTTTTTTCCTAAACAGCATTCATGGTTACGCTTTTGTGCTTCCTAATTGTCAGCATTTTTAAAATTCCTAAAGTGGATATAAATTCACCAAGGGAGGATTTTATTTTGTACTTTTCTTTCCTCAGTTGAGTGCCTTATGAATACCTCTGCCTATCGTTGTACTGATTGCTGTTTGTGAAATATGATTCTACTTGGTGGGAATTTTTGTCAAAACTATCTTCCTCTACAACACTTTGCATTTCTTTATAACAAAATGCCTTTGAATATATCAGTGGAATACCTCTCATTATGTAAGCATGATAAGGAAATATTGACCAAAGTTTGCAGCATCAGACTGAGCTTTCTATAGTAGTAAAGAATGAGCAACATTATGCAAGAAATAGATAAACAGCATTCATTATGTTGTAACAAGGCTGACCGTTTCTGTGTGCATTATCGCTTAATACATCTATTTAATCTATAGTTAAACCTCCTTGGTTTAACTATGGTCTTCCCCTAACAGACATGCACCAGGGCCCTGGTCCTTTATCATTTTCCTCAATTCCTCATAGAACTAGAATTTGGGAGATACTTAAATTTGTATTTGCTAATTTTGAATGTACACAGAAATAGATTTAGGTAAAAACAGAAGCTCGTATTGATAATCTAATTACCACACTTGCCATCAGTTTCTTTACTTTTTTTTTAAAAAAAGTATCTTTAAAGCTACTAGAATCAAAAACTGATAACAGAAAGCTTTCTCTCTCCCTCCGCCTCTCCCTCTTTCTCTGTTCATATTGCTGTGGAACTCTATGATACAGTACATTGTAACTTCTTGTATATGAAAAGCAACCCTTCTTCCATTTTCTTTTACAGAACTGTCAGCATCACACTGCTGGTGATTTCTGTGAACGATGTGCCCTTGGCTACTATGGAATTGTCAGGGGATTGCCAAATGACTGTCAACCATGTGCTTGTCCTCTGATTTCTCCCAGCAACAAGTAAGATTGATACATATAAGCATATTTTCCCATTAGTAATTCCATCTGCCTGGAACATAGACTGTTTATGATTTGCCAATTTTTTCAGTAGACAAAAAATATTTCAAGCCACAGATTTTTAAAACTGAGATAAAAACACTACCAAAATCAGTATGTATATATCCTATGACTGATTTTTCTTTTAAACTCCTCCTGCAAGTAAATAACACTTATTAATAAAACATAAATATCAATATTGACATTATATTTGTATCTAAGACAAGTGATGCACGTTCAAACACATAGTTTTTTGAATGCTTAGTTGTAGCGTGAGCTTGCACTTTACACTCTGAAGGATTGCCTGAGTGAATACCAAATCACATTTGTGGCTGTTTCCTTTCATTATATATGTTAGAGTCAATTTTTGGAAATAATTACCAAAAAGGCAATTGAACATGGCCAATGAAATTTGGGTAACTTACTAATAAGCTCTTTATAAAACGTCAGTGTCAGTTAAGAGCACAAACCTCTTTCTGTCCAGATGGTTTGAGCTGGGTACCATGGAAACACCACCACAAGGGGAAAAGTGGTGAAGTATCCTTTTTTACATGCTGTCGGAGCCTTCTGCCTTGGTTTATATCAACTGTTGCAAACCCCACAATGTTTTTATTTACCTTTTTGATAAGACTATATGGACATTCTGTTAGGTGACTTGTGTACTTCAATCTCGATGTGAGAAAGTCATTTTCTTCTAAGAATTTGTTTTTTAAAAGAAGGTTTGACAGTTTGTTTAGAACTGAAATTCTGGATGCCTTAAGTGCAAAAGAACCATGAAGCCTTGCAGACAAAATGAACTTCCACTGACACACATTAATCTTTGTATGCGTCCTGAAAACAGTTATGTACAAATTAACCCCCTTTCTTCTGCAAGAGTATAATTCTTTCCAGGATGTCAAACACAAATTGTTAGGTATGGTGGATATTGATGAAGATAAAATATATGATCTCATTGTTCAAGTACAAAATTATAGGTGTATGAAATGGAAAATTGTTTTTTATTTCTCTTTCCCAACTCTCCCTCAGGTGTCCATACTTAAACAAGGGATACCATTTATTTTATTGTTTATTAAAATGTGAGCCATTTGAATTAAAAATAATCAATAATAATTCCCTTTTGGTTATACTGTAATACCAGGAGCTACAGAGATTGTAAAATAGAATTTTGTCATTTCTTGGAGAAACTTTTTATAAAATATTGGAATAAAAACAATGGTCACAGAATTCAAACTCACAAATACCATTCTTAATTGTGAAAGAGTCCGGAATATGTCAGAGGAAGAATAGATTAAGTGTTTTTTGTAGGTTTGTGTAGTAAGAAATTCTATGCACAAATGCTTAGAAAACAAAACTCAAGGCATGCTTAAGAGCTAGTAAGCCACAGTTTGGAGTGTGGGGAATAAAGGACTCTTCAATTACTGCTGAAGATGGCCAGGAGAACGGAGACTATATCAGAGAAATCTTTGAGGGCCAATCTATAAAATGACTATTTAACTTCCTATGTTAACTTAAAACATAGCTTTCTTTCTATTTAAAAAAAAAGGTTATTTGATCAGAGCTACAGTTTAGAAAGCCTACTATGCTAAAACTGAATACAATAAAATGAAGCAGGTGAAGAAGAAAAGCAAAGAATCCAATCAAAGGGCGGTTGCGCTAGTGCAGGCGAGAGGTAATGAGAGCTGGAAGCCAAGTACCAATCACAAGAGGGCAACACAGGGAAGAGTGTGAGAAACTTGTTACACACAGCGCTACACAACTGATGAATAATTAGGGATAAGAATGGAGAGTCCAGAATGGAGGACTGACGGTTTTAGCCATCTTGCCCCCCCAAATACTGGAGCCATGAACTCACTCAGGGAAATTGGGAGAGAACTGCTGCTGAAGACAGGTAATTTATGGTTTAAATGGGTTCAAATTGATGTGAAAGGTCTGTCAGAATAGAAATATGCAAATAGCTGCACGGAATGGAAATCTGAAAATTGCAGGAGCAGATGAAGGGAGAAATATGTTAATAAATGAATTAAAGTCAGATTGCATTTCCCAGGTTGTTGCTCCCCAAGGGAAAGCACATAGAAAGAAGGCAAAATGGGGCTTCTTTAAGTGATAGAAGTCTCCATCCCCAGAAAATGGAATACAAATGCGAGGGAGAAGCCAGACAGACCAGAACCTTGGGCAGCGTTTTCACTGACGCCAAGAGAATGATGAGCAACACTTAGCAAGCATCTAGCATTGTTCTCTCAAAGAAGACTGAGTAAATGTTGCAGCTTCTAACTGGGGGCATCACTACTGAAAGTTGACAATGTAGAAGTGAACGTTAAATACAAGTTGTTTTAGGAAACCCTTCTAATTTAGGGAATTACACAGATACAATACCAGCTTGGGTGGTTAGCAGAATCAACAAAACATTTTATTCATATTTTTTATTTCATAATTTGATTTGTGCCATTTTGGTAGAAATTCTATGTCAAGGAACCTTAAAGACTCAAAACATCGTAGTTGCAGCCCAAATGGCATTCAGGCGTTATCAACCACAACTATAAGTTACCCTTTTTAAATATCATATGGACACTCAGATAAACATGCATGTATCCCATCCTTTATTCAATTTTCTCATCATACATTTTTAGAGAACTTCTGGTCAATTTCATGACCCACTATTCTCACCAGCTGTAGCTTGGAACACATTAGCCTAATTAACAAAAAGATCTATAGACAGTAAGAAGGTTAAGAGGCAAAGTAGAGAACTAGTCAGGGCAAAGAGAGGCACTATTTTTTCCCCAAAGTGTGAAAATAGACTCGGAGCTACAGATGGGAGAGGTGAAATGTCTTATTCTAGTAACTTTATGTAGCCCACGAGAAATAAAAGGTAAGGAAGACACAGTGATGGCCAGCTCATGGGCACAGCGGTCGCTTCTTTCGCTCATATCAAATCAATTACTTTAAATCTTCAGCAGTTTGACTTAGCAGCACCATTTACTCACTGTGGGGTGTACTACTACACACACCCAAGGAAAGGGCAACATGAAGGCAGCGTCAGAAATCTAGTTCAGCCTGTCTTTGCAAGCTATGGTCCCTAGCAACTTTCCACATGATGTCCATGTTACAGCTGCTTGCTTATTTCTGAACATCATAGAAATCTTGGTTCTCACAAAGACCTTAGATAAAGTGTATAATACCCAGTGCAGGTCTCGGAATCCAGTTGAAGGATCATTTCTGTTGCAATTATTTCTCCAGCCCAGCATGCCTTAGTCCTTTTTTATGCCACTAATGCATGGTACATCATGTCTTGACTTCAGCCAGATGCTCTTTCAGATACTGAAATTTTATTAAGTAGTAAGTACTCCATCCTAATATCCTGAATAAGAGAGAAAACATGTACATGTGTCCTGTCCTACCTTTGTGTATGGATCACACATAACTGTGCATTCCGTGAAAATACAGGTATGTCAGCTATTCCTTTGGCCAACAAATCTTTACTTCAATGCCATCTGAGAATACTTCCTCATGTTGGGAATATACAAGCAAGAAAAATAATCCCATTTCTTGTTCTCTCAGATCTTGTATTTTTCATAAGTAAGACAGTGAGCAAAGAGACATGGAATGGAATATCTATGTTAAGACAGTGCTTCCAGGAAAAAGCACGTAGCCACAAAGGATGAGTTTGCAACATTTTCAGTAAGGGTCAGTGACCTGCACACACTTTTGTGGCTGATGCAGTGATGTGGATGAAGTAGAAGAATGAGCCTCTAGAACAGCAACAAGATTAGACCACCTGACTCCAGCAGGCCTCTGCCTGACCCCTAACTAGCAGAGACCAGGTAAACGTGGCTGGAGTGGAGTGAATGGAGAAGACAGCAGAAAGGTGAGTGCTAGCAATTTCAGGGAGGTCAGAGGTAGCACGATATAGGATAATGTGATGAAGCCACTGAGAGCAGCTCCGGTGATATTTATACATCAAACAACATTTTGATTGAGGACAAAAGTAGGGGACAGCTTTGACACTGTGCATTTAGCAGGGGAGATAGAAGCATAACCATTGACTAAGCTTAGGGAAATAAAGTGAATTTTTTTTCAGAGAAGGAAAAAAATCAGCTTTATATGTTAGAGTCTATGTGGTATATAAAGCTCTCAGGATGAAGGAAGTTACTTAGAAATCACATCTTTTAAATCACATTAATAGATGAAGATCATGACATAGATGCAGTCAAGAAATAGGCTAGAAGCAGGGATCAAAACCAGAAGGAAGTGGTACCCAGGAGGCCAGTCAGCACTGAAATCCACAGAGGGTCTCGCACAAAATGAACCCTGTAATATTTACAAGCTGTGCAGTGCCATGTTTGAAACTAGTCACCACAGGGGATGAGAAAAGGCTGGTGACTAAGAGAGACTCACAAGCATTTGCAAATGCTCCTGCAGAAGAGATGAGAGTCAGGGTTAGAGGGATGGGAGTAGGAGATGGCGAGGAGAAAGACCGGATACTGACTTTAGGGAGATGAGATTCCTACATGCTCCTTTCCAAGGCCTTTGAAATGCCTGAAGGAAAAATCAAAGTCCATCACAAATACCATCACTTAGCAGTTTGTGCCCGCTCATCTAGGATTGCTACATTCCAACACTGTATTTTTGAAGATACTTATGTATTCATTTATTGAGGACTTTAGTATTTTACAGAAATGGACTGTAATTTCATTCTGTTGCCTAGTCTAGAACTGTATTTAAAATGTTTAGAATCTGTTTCCTAGACCTGTGTATGACTATCAATGGAATGAGCGTGTGCATGTGCCCCCACACACGTTTCAGCCTCGAGTTTTAAAAGAACTGAAAACTTGACAGATGTACCCATTGTGAGCTTGGGGATTCCAAGTTCTTGGGAACACATGCACTCACATACAAGATCGTGGTATAGCAAAACTGTGAGTAGTAGATTTGTTTTTTTGCACCTTTCATACATTTTATAAAAGTTAAAAATTAGCATCCATTCACAAACCACGGATTTTCATGAATTTGACATGTAGATATAACAAGTTACCACCCTAATGATGCCCAAACATTAGGAATATGGTCGTAGTGTGTGCTGCCAGAGGGATCTTGGTCTGTACTTTCTATTACTTCTTGGTATGGACAGATTTGAAAGACCTCAAACAATAAGACGGGATATCTGAAGCATCACCCCTTGACAGTCAGGAAGTTGTCTCTTCCTAAGTTCCTAATGCTCCATGAAGTGTTATCCAATGGGAATGAAGCACTGGTTTGAGAAAAGTTTACTACAAAGCAAACCGTAGGATAATTTAGTTTGGTTTTTGAGTCTCATCAAGTCTTCCCTCCCCCTACACAGCCAGGTAGAGGGCTGTCCTTGAGCTGCACTCTGACTCTGGTAAGTGTGTGTGTGATAGGGAAGCTAGCGGTTACTTCAAAGTCAGTAGAATAGTGAGCAGATTTTGTTCAGTTTCATATAGAAAGCTCTGTCTTCTTGCTACACATTAAATCGAATTACTTTGTGGACTTCGTAAGAATGTTGAAATCTGGATAGACCGGGAAATGTGCTGTTGGGTTCTGTATGGAATAGCTATTCACACTTCACATGTTGAACTGCCAGTGGCAAGATGGACTGAGATTTCAGGAAAATAATTACACGGTTTTCTGCTGCTCTTTTTTTTTTTTTTGCTTGGTTTTTAACCTGAAAAGCATTCAATGATCCCTGATCTACTATAAGACACATGCACACAAGTTCCTATCAAAATTGTCTTTGTGAGATCTTTGTTGAATATTTAATATTTACATAGATTAACTAAAATCATTAAAAATCCCACAATGCTGTTATTATTAATGTGGTACCTTATTAATTCATCAAAATGGACCAATCTCTCATTAGTGGTATTTAATTGTCTTTGACATAAATAAGAAATATATCAACATTTATAAATGTATTTATCATCTCACCCTTCAAAATGTCCCAGTGACCTTGATAATGGGTGGAAATACTGTATTTGGCCAAATACATGATTAACATTTTATGTGGTTTTTTTTTTTTCGATCCAGTTTCAGCCCCTCCTGTGTGTTGGAAGGTCTTGATGCCTACCGCTGTACAGCCTGCCCTCGGGGGTATGAAGGACAGTACTGCGAAAGGTACTATGATCAAGGGCCATTATTCTATTAATTGTTTCTGTAATTTCATCATTTCTCTTTGAGTAATTAATGCTTCAAAACTATTTCCTTAGCTCTAGAATTGTTTCTTTAAAAAGCTGTTTGCTTTAACTTCAAGTTGAGACCTCGTGATCCCAAAGAATTCATGATTATTTAATTTATGTTTTAGTATAAACAAAGTCAGATATAATTTTAAAAGAACAAACTGCAGGGTTTTTTGTTTTCAAAGCTTTTTAGTAGCTATGGGAATTGAGAAGCTGATCACATTGCTCTCAGTTTGTTCACTGGTCAAAAGTGTCTAGCAATAACTTCACACATGCTGTTGTTCATAGCACGATGGCCTTGCACGGGGTGGGGGGAGTATTCTGCAATTAGGTAATGAGGGTAGTTAATTAGTCCCACCCAGAAAATAAAGTGTTAAGTTATTGAGCTCCTTTTTGTAGGTTATCCATGTTCTTCAAAGGCTTTTTACAGTCAAAAAATACAAAATCTGATAAAGCACCAAGTAACTGAATGTAGTTCCATGCAAATGCTAAGGAACATCATCCTAGCTTGACTATCTCTTCGGCAGTAAATTCACATCTTCCAAATACAGATTTACATGCGATCAAGAAACCAGATGTTCACATGGTTACAGCCACCTCTAGTGTTTCAGACACTGCAAGAGAACTGATACTAACCATTATCAAGATAAACATTCTGTGATCTTAGTAGTGGGTAGCAATTTAGTAGTTTCATAGAAATTCATGGGTTTAGCTTAATTCCAGCAACCTAACTGGAACCTACTTAACCCTGTCTTCCTAATAGTGGGATGTGTCAGGACCCTGTTGGTGTCCTGCCTGGGCTCCTTCAATAAAAAGAGGTGTGATTAGCCTGTGGATTTGCCTTCATCTTTCTCTTGGTAGCTCACAGCCAATGATTTAACAGGAAAGAATGGATTTCAAAACTCTGTATCTTTTGCCTCAAAGCAGATCAAATTCAGAGACTCTCTTAAAATTCTAGAACTTTATATAATAAGGCTAAAATTGAAAACTCACCTGAAATCATACTTACTTACAGTTTATCCAAAGCCTGTTTGCCCACTTCACTAGAGTTTCCTAGGAGATCCTGAAACCATTACTCATTTTCAAAACTAAATAACTATTTATTGTTATTTCCTATAAACTACTTAAGATCCTTTTATACAACCAGCAATGGTTATATGGATAATGACAATAAAATGAATGGAGTAACTAGATATAAGTTTTGTAAATTCCAATAAAAATCTACATGTTTGTAAGATGCAGTCTCAAAGATCTATATATGATAACAGCACATAATATCCATCACCTTCATAAATGTACAGAATGGTGCACCCACACTGCCCATATCCCTGAGAATTAGCAGAGATTAAACACTTTATACTACAAACACCCCAAAACATATTCATTTATTTGAAAGATGCATACATCATTTGGACATAGATTATAAATGATAAAGCTATATCTTCTGTATGCCTGCCACATCCTTTGGATTTCTATTTAACTGAATATTCATTTAATTCTCTTTAAAACACCAGTAGGATTATGACTGAAAGCAACCCTGGGTACTAATTGTATCATCTTTAGCAACTTATTATATAACTATTTTTTATGCTGTAGCTAACTTTATAAATTGAGATTATCACTCACTATCTGCCAGAGCAGGTCGGCAGAAAAGACTAGAAAAAATGTGTAGCAAGATTACAATTACTGTCTGATGCAGAGTGATCACAGAAATCCATCATCTTAATATGCATTAATGTAGACTCAGTAGGAGATGGTAGTTCATGCAGTTTATGGATAAACAGGATCGTATACTGTTAAACGTGAATGGTTTGAATTGTTTTTGCAATTCTCAGATGTTGTTATAGCTTTGAATTTATCATTTCTAACATAGAAGCAATTAGATTATATTTCCCTAAAAAAATTGCTTCCATTCAGCTAAATTAAAGCAAAGGTCCTGGTAAAATTTTTATTGTAACCTTCCAGATAGATTTGTTCCACTTCTGAGAGCTTCTTAGATCATTTAAATCACCTTTGACCTGCCCGGTGCAGCCAGGTTCTAAAACCGCTTGTGCCTCTTGATTGTCCCTATAACACAGAAGTCCTTCCCTATGCTCCATCTTCATTAGTCTTGTAATGAACCCTTGGAAGATTTAATCAATCTGAACCTGCTTAAAATGCACTCCTTTCAGGTGTGGATGTTAGGAAATAACTTCAGGGGTTTTATTTAAATAATATTTTCATAGAACATTTGTTATCTGATATTAAAATGGTAATGACCAAGTCAGGCCTGGGAATACAGACCCATCCATCATGATAGCTCCTCAGGAGGCTGAGGCAGGAGGATGGAGTGTTCAAAGCCTGCCTGGGCTACAAACTGAGTTCAAGGCCAGCCTGTACAACTTAGTGATAGCTTTTCTGAAAACGAAAAAGGAAAAGAGATTCAGAGTATAGGTTTTCATATGCAAGACCTAAGACTCAATCCATAGTACAACACACACACACACACACACACACACACACACACATGCACGCGCGCACACCAGCACATTTAGCGATGTGGCTTTCATTAATCTCCATTGTTTTGTCCTTTTCCAAACCAGGTGTGCCCCAGGCTACACTGGCAGTCCAAGCAGCCCTGGAGGCTCCTGCCAAGAATGTGAGTGTGACCCCTATGGCTCTCTGCCTGTTCCTTGTGATGCAGTCACAGGACTCTGCACGTGCCGCCCGGGAGCCACGGGAAGGAAGTGTGATGGCTGCGAACATTGGCATGCGCGCGAGGGCGCGGAGTGTGTCTGTACGTACACTAACTTAGCTGCTGGTTCTGTGGGCCTGGCTTCCGCGCCGGTCTCTGTTCCAGTAAGGCCGCTATTTCCTTGTTTGCAGTAGCTGTTGCTACTCTGCACCTCCTCCGAAGCTATCTACCCACCTTCCACTGTGTTTGTCTCTGTCCCGCTGAGCCAAGAGCAGCTGAGAAAATCCTCAGCATGCTTCAGTCAGTTCATTGAAGACCTACAGCAAAGCTCCTCCAGGCAAGTCTTATTTTTGCCCCTCTCAGGATTTGCCATTTTGCCTACAGTTGGCATTGCCTTTTGTGACAGATTAAAGATCCAAGTCTATTAAATCTTTTAGAATCCTCCTGAATTTGTAATTGCCTGGGTAGGCACTTTAAGCCTTGAATTACAACTGACTTCTTTCGCCAGCTTTTACATAATGCTTTGGATCTTCATCCCAAACTATAAACCCCGGGTGCATGCAGTTACAATGCACTCAAGTGTTTAGTTTTTCTTACATACAGAGTAAACAGTGGGAAGATGGCTTGTTTTCTCCCCTCCCCCCTCCTTCATCTTTCTCTCTCTCTCCCTCTCTCCCTCTTTCTCTCTCTCTCTCCCTCTCTCTCTCTCTTTTTCTCTCTCTGTCTCTCATCTCTCCTGATTCTGGATTCAGTGTTGAAATTACATTGGGTACTGGAGCTTACTTACATCAATTCAGATCTAGAGTAAGTTATTTATAAAGCTAAAAGGAGAGTGATGATCCACGCTACGCTTTTTCTTATGTTTGTTTCATCACATTTTATTGCAGTCTTTACATATTTCAGTGTGTTTATGCATGACAGTCTTCCCTGTTTTCATGTCTTACATGTGCCTGACTCTGACTTGCATTTTGAGAACTTTCGCTTGTGTGTGCTCTGGTTTCCTAAAAAGCTGCCTCAAAAGCTAAAGCTGGGTTTAAAACCAGATCAACACCATAAGACTGAAGCATTTGGGAAGATGCATTACAAAACAAATAAAACCAAACAAAAGCCCAACTGGGCAGGGGACTGAAAAGATTGCTCGGAGGTTAAGAGAACCTACTGCTATTGCAGAGGATCCAAGTTCGATGCCAAGCCCTCTGTCAGGATGTTCAAAACTTCTGTAACTCCAGCTCAAGGGGATTCAAAGCCCTCTTCTGGCCTCCACAGGCACCTGCACTCAGGCGCGTGTGCCCATACAGAAGCACACATGCCTATGCAGATGTACAAAGAAATTTTAAAATCTAAAACAGGGTCTTCTTTGTAGTTTGACTCTCTTTAACATAGTGCTTGAAGTAAGTAAGAAGGGCTATGTATGGCTACGATCAGTGTCTGAGCCCTTATATTGCCTGCATAAAGATTCATATTTTCCCTTTGTAGCACAATGGGGAAGAATAAGCAAAAATAAGTGTGAGCATTGGTGTGCGGAAAGATTATAAATGTAATACACCAAAACGTTAGTTTGATAGTGCTGTTATTTTATACCCACACATATATACAGACAGAAAGACACACGCACACGTGTGTGTGTGTGTGTGTGTGTGTGTGTGTGTGTCCACTCTAAGTGTGTTTATCTTAAAGACAGTTTTATGGGTTTACCCCAGACCAGCAAGAGAGCTTTGCAGGCAAAGGCCCTTGCCACCAATTCTCACAATTTCACTCGATTCCTGACGCCCACCCAGAGGGAGAGAAGTGACTTCCACAAGTTGTCCTCTGACCTGCCCACATGCACTGCAGCATACGGGCACACATACATACAAGCAAACAAACACATAAATGTTTTCAGTGCGTGCCAAATATTCTGCTTCTGAATTACCTTGTTTACATGGATAGAACTCGCTAAATCATATATAGACACATTTCAACAATTCTTGAACAGTAAATAATCAATTTTATTAATTATTTGGACATCAATTTAGAAAATGTTTAATGTGGTATGCAGAAATTGAATAGTAGCACATTAAAATCAGCAAAAGATGAAATCAAGGGATTACTTTCTAAACATTTATTTTAAAAAGAATTGTGATTTTTTTTCAGTCAAGTTAGCTTCATGTTCTTTTTCTGGTGATCAGTTCTTAACTTACATATTAAAAACATGTATCATAAGAAAATGTAACTCATCACTGCCGTGTATCTCTAATTTTCACGCTTCATCTGATATTCATTAGCAAAAGTCCTGATCCTATACTGACAGAGGCACAAGACTCTCATGTCTATTAGCCTTAGTTTTGTGGTACAAGCAATGATTTTGCACCTGTTAAACGTGGTGTACACATCCATTACTTTGTTCTGGAGACTTTCATTTCCTTCTGGAATATTATAGAGATCTTTATCCCATAAAAAATGTTAAATTGTGGGACTGCTTAGCTGTCTACACCCCTCTTTTATATTATTAGCAGCTGTGCTGTGCAAGTTGACACTTTTTTTCTATAGCCTTCCTGCAGGCTTAGTGGACCCTCTTGCTTCTGGGCCTGCCTTCTTTAGGTTAATCCTAAGAGCTGTCACACAGGAGAGCTGTAGACTCTCCTTCCTTTCTCACCTTTTACAGTTGCTACAGTTTAGAACAAACACACCCTGCTTTCCTTATGCTGCCCCTCCCCCAGCCCCTAGCTCCTGCTTCCTACCCCTACTTTGAAAATGACTTAGGAAACAAGACTCAGTGAGGACAAAACTCTGGCTCATTCTTAATTCTCTTCGTAAGAGACTTCTCTATCCCCAAGCTAACTTAGATCAAGGGACCAAAGAATACATTGACTTGGTGTGTTTAATCTGTGGAGGCTACTTCATCACATGGGATCACAGTGGACTTTTTATAAGGCCCAAGGGTGGAAGTTAAGGGGAGAACCTCAGTGAGGGAGAGAGAACATGAGAAGGAGACAGGAAAATGAATGTCTGTGCTGGTGTCGGTGCATGGGGTGTTGGCTGAAGAAAGGATAATGGCTCTGCTTGGTAGAAGCTAGGTACCGTACCAACAGTTTATTTGTGAGGATTGTATGAGAATTTATTTTCTTCTCTTTAATTAATTATCTAAGAAATACAATTAAAATAGACTCATATCACATATTTAAATGCTTCTTAGTTTTATTTTTATTCATTTCTAAATTTTTTTCATCATGTATAGTCATTGCCCATGCTACTATATTACATAGAACATTTACATACAAGGTTATGGCTAGGCTTCTTCAGTGTGTTATTTTAGGGGCGTTGTGCATTTGTAGAAAGAATCCATAGACTCACTCTTTGCTTAATCAAAGATATAAATTTATGCTAGAATTTGGACAAAGCAGAACGCATGAAGAAATCATAATTGGCCTGTCACTGCCTAAATTTCTATAAATGTCCGTTAGTTGTTTATGGACGTCATTGGCCAGCAAGTCAAGATAGGACTTTCCTGTATATAAAGAGGACTTTCCTCATCCTGGTGTGCTGGTGAATACTTGTAACCCAGCACTTGGGGACAACAGACAAGAACATCAGCAGTTCAAGGTCATCCGTGGCTACTTTGCAAGTTTGAAGACAACCTGGGTTTCATGGGACCCTGACTCAAACAGAAGTTAAGTGCTAGCAGATTAGAGAATTTCCTACAAAGTATAATCATTTTATATATTACATTAATAATGCTAAATTTACATAATAATCTTTTCATTAGAAAAAATGGAAACCCCAGCATCTATCACTAAGCTGAATTTAGCCCCATCACAATGATTAACTCTACCAAAAGGAACCCACAAAAGGTCTCACTGAATCCCAAGCACCTTCAGCTTCCTAGCTGAGATGTCAGACATCCCCCATAGCGTTCCACTCACCACCAAGAGGTTTATCATAGTAGCAATTTGTAGAAGCTCACCTTGCCTTGGAGCTTGCCATGTTCAGCTCTCCATACAATCCTGTTCGTTCTTGCAGCATATCTGCACATGTTATCGAGAGCTGCTTTTGGCCTTACCTCAGCTCCCTGACGATTACCATCAAAGGAATTCAGACGAGACACACAGAGCATAGTGTAGAAGACAAGTAAGGTGTAGAAGAGTATCATGAAACTCAACTAGACTGGACAACAGTCAGAAAAACTATTTTAACTCGTGTGTGAGATGGGCTTTATGTTATTTGTTTTTCAAAAATATCTCACTGAATTTGAAAATTTCCATTTATTTATTTATTTATTGTGTGTGTGCCTGTGTGTGTACCTGTGTTCTTGTGTGTACATGTGTGGGCACATAATGGCCACAGCATATGTACAGAGGTCAGAGAACAACTTTCAGGAATTGCTTTCTCTCTCTACCTTGTGAATCTAGATGATCAAACTTTATACTGATAGGTTTGCGAGCAAGCCCCTTTACCCGCTGAGCCATCTTATCATCCATGAGTCATACTTTCTCTCTCTCTTTCTCTCTCTCTCTTTCTCTTTCTCTCTCTCTCTTTCTCTCTCTTTCTCTCTCTCTCTCTCTCTCTCTCTCTCTCTCTCTCTCTCACACACACACACACACAAACACACACACACTTTTAGAGGCTGTCTTTAAGATTTAAGAGATCATATATTTAATTAAGATCCATACATATTCATCAGAAGTTGTCCACAGAGTCTTGCTTCTTTGAACTGGAAAAGATACATTCGACTGGTACTTAGACTAATTTCATCCCTTTTCTTTTGTCTTGTCTCTAAGCATCAAACCCAGATGTTTCTCTGCATGCTATTCTGACATTCCACTACTGAGCTACATTTACCACAAATTTATCAGTTTAAAGCAAAAAAAAGGGGGGGAGAGAGGGAGTTACTTAAGACAGCTGGACATTTTTATTCCTTAGGTGTATTTGTGAGTTCTGAATACTTTATTGTAACACTCATAACAGTATTTCTGTTTAGTAAGCTGAATTACACAAATACGTCTTCCTCTCTAAACCCTCATTTATAATTGATATGTCATCCCCCAAAATGAGAATATCCACCTTCCCTGAAATTTGAAAATGAATGAGAAATCCATTATGTATTCAATGCAAAAAGTTTTGTA